GGCTCCCTGGCGGCCTCCGGTGCAGCCCTTGCAGAGGTGGCTCGGCTCACACCCAGCATGATACTAGGGTGTCGTAGATCCCATCGTAGATCCAGCCAGCAGGTGGCTTAGTTTAGTTCAAGCCTTAAGGCTGCATGTGTGTCCTCTTGCTTCTAGACCCACAGCTACAAATAACTTATAGCCCAGGAAGCAATTAGCAGCTGGTTTTTTTTGTTTGTTTTCTTTTTCTTTTCTCCCAGCCTTCTCTCACAAACACGGCTCTCCCCTCACATTAAAGAGTGAGACCAGCTCTGGTTCCCTAATACCCAAGTTGCTGAACTCCTAGCTGCCAGATCAAGAGCCCAGCAGCCCTGTGGCTTCAGCCCTGCTCCCTGCTTTTTCATTTCTCTTGTATTTCTGGTTTGCAGAGGTTTTTATCTTGTGTTTGAGACTGATGATGTCTATTATTGCTCTGTATTTGGAGCAGAACAGAGGAGTACTTTGAAGCATGAACTTACTGTGCCAACTTGACTGAAGGTTTTTGAACTTGAAAATGACTTAATCAGATCTACTGTTTGGGATGCTGCTTCTCTCCCTCCCCACACACCCCTCCCACCCCACCCGTGGAGGCATTGTAGAGGGTAGATTGTAAGGGAGTCTAAAGATAAGTAAATAATTTAGAACACCACAGGCACACAAAATGATCAGGGCCTGAACTAAGGGAGATGGAGAGGAGAGAATGGATCTAGAAGATATTTAGTAGGTACAGTCTATAGACACGGATTACTGATTTTGAAGAGGTGAATGTTCATATTTCTGGCTTAGAATGAAGGTAAACTTCACTGAGAAAGGAATATAGGAAGAAGAGTAGATTTTGGTAGGTCATTGGGTCAGGAATGGAGAGAGGAGTATTAAGATGTTTTGTGACTACTGTTTGAAGCCCACTACGTGTTTTTCCAAATGTCTGTGTCTTTCCTACTGGTGCATCTCAGTGCCCAAGATCTTTGAATTTATTATATTTCCAAATCTCTTTACATGATGTTCAGTTGTGGATTTATGCAGACTTCTCCCCTAGATTTGGGAAATTTTTCCTCAGCATATTTGTTCATTTATTTAACAAACATTTCTTAAGTAGCTCTTAAGCAACAAGTATAGTTCTGGCCTTCATGGATGTTATACTCTAATGGAGGAAAAAGATATTTATCAAATAAACAGACAATTACAAAGTGTGGAAGTCCTATAAAAGGCAAGTGTAGTGCTAGGAGAGTGTGTGACAGTGGGGCCTGACCAGGTCTGAGGCCCTGATGTACGCGTGGGGTAGGGTGGGAGTGGCTTGTTAGCTCTCAGTAGAAGGCTTTCCTGAAGGAGTGAATCTGAGCTGTTCCCTCTGCCAGGCGCACTCTGCCCGCCTGTCTGCAGAGCTGGCTGCTTTTTGCTGTTCAGGAGGACTCAGCTGCTATGTTAATTCCTCAGTCAGACTTTCCTTAGCCACACCCCAAATTAATGTTTAGCGTGTCGCTCTTCTTTATTTTCTTTAGAGCATTTATTTTTATCTGAGATTATCTTGTTTAGGGACCTTGTCTCTTCTTTTCTCACCTCTGCCCCCACTACTGAAACTTACGTGTTCAAGAAATGATTAAATGACTGCACAAGTGAATACCCTTGGGTGGTTGTCTGTCCAGAGTTGTTCTAGTGATTTGTATGTCCTTGTCCTTTGCCTTGAGTTTGAGGAGACTCCTCAAGTTGGCCTTCTACTCGCTCATTTTTCTGTCCTGTTGACCCTCCCCTCGCTCCACTGTGTCTTTCTAATGGGAGTTGCCAGTGGTACCCTTTGGCGGTAGTGATGGGCATGTGACTTTCAAACTGGGCCAATCAGAGTCGTTCTCCTGCATTTTTCAAATTTGAATGAAGGAAGAAGGAGACTTCTCAGGTGGCAGAGTGTGAGGTGGGAATCTGGAGCTGTTTGTGGTCATATTCATATCCAGATTGAAGAAGCCAACTGCAAGAGAAGAAAATGAAAGCATTACCCAGAGAAGCAGGGATGGGAGAGGGAAAAAGAGTCCTGGAAGTTTTCCGGTGCCTGCTTCATTTGTACCTGAGGCCCAGTTGCAACTCCTGGTTCTCCCACTGCCTTTGCCTTCGCCACTTCAAATTGAGTTTCTGTCACTTATAACCAGAGTCCTAATTAAAACAGTATATAGCTTTATTTTTATTTTAACCTTCACCTCAGCCAACAAGCTTTTCCTCTTTCTGTGTTTGATATAATATCTTTGCATATCGATCTGTTGCGTAATTTATTTCAGAGGACCCGTGTTTCCCCCCCCCCGCCTCTCCTTCTCCCCCTCCCTTCCCCTTCTTCCTCCCCCTTTTTTCTTTCTTTCTCTTTTTCCGACACAAGCAGTTGCTGCCTAAGTTAATCTATTTCCAGTACTATTCTATTTTAGTACTATGTCCTCCTTCCTTTCTTTTCAGAAACATACTGGTTAGAAATGAATAGATGCCATTTTATTATTACTTATCCTTGAAGCAGATTATTGGATTCTTGGATTTTTTGCTTTCAACTTGGATGCTCTAGAATAGCCAGGTTCCTCCTCTTTGACATCTCCAGGGTGGTGGGGAGGTAGCCGGGCTGTGGGCAGCCTTGAGTGGAAAGTTCACTTCCCTACTTTCTGTAAAATGCTATGGCCTGACCTTCCTGATGCTGCAGACTGCTGTGTCAGGGAGCAGCCCTGCTGTTCAGGGAGAAGGCCTCTATCGTTGGGGCTGGCTTTCTGCTTCATGTACCTGCTCCTCCCTTTGAACTGTTGCAGCTACCCTCACATCCCACCAATCCGTGTAGACTCCAAGTAGAATATTAGCATTCCACATCTTTCCCATAGTTTCTAGTTCTAACCTTTTCTAATTAGGGGGGTTGCAATAAATTGTTTTAGGTCAAGCAGCTTTCTCAGGCAGCTAAGTTGTAAATTGGCATTCAGTATGTTTCATCCATCTGGTTCCGCTTTTACTATGTCAAGGAGAAAATTGAGATTTTTTTAGTAATTTGCTCCTTTTATTGATTCGTTCACTCAGTAAATAGTGATTGAGCATCTACTGTGTGCCCATTGCTCTTCTAAGACACCAAAGATACTAGGTGAATGAGATTCTCTGCCCTCGTGGAGCTTATATTCTAGATGAGGAAACAAACAATAAACAAGTAGACGAATAAATACATAGTATTGTATTAGATAGTGATAAATACCGAGGTGAAAAATAAAGCAGGACAGGGGAATAGAGAGTGATGGCAGTGGGGCGACTTCAGAGAGAGTGGGCAGAAGGCAGGCTTCTCTGAGGAGGGGACATTTGGGTAGAGACCTGAACGAATCAGGGATCTAGCCATGCGAAGAGTTCCTAGCAGAAACAACAGCCAGCATACAGCTCTAAGGAGGTGAAAGGTGTGGTGCGATTGTAGACTGAGGTGGCCAGGGTGCCTGGAGAGGAGTAGGGAGGGGCACAGTGGAAGCGAAGGAGCGCGTGGAGTTAGGAAGGGGAAGACAAGCTTTCACCATCCCCCGCCCCGAACCCACCCAAAGCAAGCTGTGTCAGTTATCTGGAGGTACGTAGTGTCTGGCACATTGTCCCCAAAGGCTGATAGTCACAGCAGGCTTCTGTCATGTGACACTGAGTGGTAACCGAAAACACTGGGATTTTTTGGTTCTGGACTCTAAGCTTATTGTAGGAAGTTAAGAGTGTTTAGAATGAGAAGGTTTGAAGCAGTTATAAAAGAAGTTTGGAAGGAAGAAATGATTAAGAAGTGAGGTTAGATAAAATAATCTTGGAAGAGGTGACAACTTGAGCAAAGGTTTCTGACACTGTCCATCTCAATCCTTAATGAAACGACTGGCAGTTAGAGAACATTGTTGGCCCCTGTCGTCTGAATATACCCTGACTTTGACCATATCTCATTACCTCTACTAATAGTAAATTATGATTGGAAACATTAAAACCTTAATTCCTCACACTTGGAGCCCGAAATGTGCATAGTACTGGATCTTTAGGGACTTTTCGGTTTACTTCTACAAGAAGCCTTGGGAAGAAATGAGATGTTAATATGAACTAGCCATAAGATATGGAGAAGTAAGGCATTTCCTTTATAATTTATCTTGGGAGAGGGTTAAGAATAACAATAATACTGTATATTTGAATGAGTATACTTTTATATCTGTGAATTAGACTGAACAGATATGCTTATACTGGTTTTTAGACAGGAAACTCAGGCCCAGACAGGCCACCTGACTGGCTGAGAGTCACACAGCTGTTTAAGGGCAGCACCAGGGCTAGAATTCAGATCTTAGACTGTGCTCTGGTATCTACTAATGGCATCAAGTTGTTATGATAGGATGTTAGTCAAAGAAGAGCCAATTGCCCTTCCTTCTCTTGTTCCACCTCAATTGTACCTCTCTAAGGTAACAGATACTGACAATCTTGTGGGTGCACAGCTGGCCATCTGCCTGCCCATCCATCCATTCACGCATGTATGCATGCATCCACCCATCCATCCATCCGTCCTGGTATTTCTCTACTGCTCTCTTCTGTATACCTATATAGTGGTTTATTTCTCTGTGCTTTAGAGATTTGAATCATGCTATGCATATTTCTTTAAATCTTTAGCCATATGTCATGGTCATACATCTTGGTCAGTGCATCTAGCTCTAAATCATTCCTCTTCTTTGTATGCCTATATTGTTTGATTTATTGCATAGTACATATTGCTTTTAAAAGGAAAATCCAATAGCATGTTTTAAGTGAAAAATGTAATGCCAATATATAATGTGATTTCATCATATATTTATTTGCTTCTTAAAGTATAAGAAAAGGAGTATAGTTATTGACAATTCTAATGAAACTTAGGTTTCCCCCTACATTTGCTACAGATTTTTTCACTTTACTCACATTTTCATTTTTTCCTAATTTTCTTTAGAATGAAAATTAATTGTAGCCTAATTTAATATTTTCTTTACTAAGCAATTTGATGTATTTTTCAGGTTATTATATCCGGGAAAAGTCTAAGCAAGTCATAACATTGCTGATGGATGAGCAGTTGCTGCATAAAGAGAGGGAAATAGCGTGTCGGACAAGACGGCGTACCTCCTACTCTATGACATTTCCTAAAAGAGTGCCTGGGACTGGCAACTCACCGACCGCATGCGCTTCTGCTCCTACACCAGAAATTCCTGCTTCAGAGAGGAAGCATAAGCTGCTTAAGGTTGCAAGGCTATGTAATAAAAGTACGTATAATGAACATTGGCCTAAAATGCAGTAGGTATCATTTAAGAACAACTAAAAATATAAAACGTTAGGTTTTAGTACTAAAGTATTAATACTATATTAGTACTGCTGTTACTATATTATACCTCATAATATAGCGAACAAAGATGAAGAACAATATTCAGTAGAAAATTGATGATTATTTTCTGAATGCAATTATCTGGGATTCAAATAAACTGTTTTTGAGCTTTAAAGGTATTGAACTGGTGACTGCAGTATTTGGCATCATGATTCAATTTTAAGATTTAATCTGGAATGTGAAGGAGAACTGTTTTCTGAGACTGGGGGTCTGGGTGTGCATTTGTGCTATTTGATCCTACAAATCAAGAAGTTGACATTTGCTCATATGTGCCTCAAAATTCTGAAAGTGCTCTAAGACTCTTCCAGGATAGTACCTTGTGTTATATAATCCTTTCCTTTGCTTAAAGCTTTAAGTCTGGACTACTAAACTTTAAAAAAAAGGATTTATTTAAAATATAATGTTATAATAGAAATCAGCAAGAAAACGAAACTATCTTTTCTACCAAAGTTGCTAAAGCATAAAGGAATGTCATTTTGCCTGAACTTCTCCAGTTAAAACCCTGTTGAAAAGTTGTGTATGAGGAATGGACTGTTGGAGGAAGCAAAAACGTTGATGAAATGTGGCTTAGATAACTGCCCCTTGAAAGGAATTAAACTTCGTGCCATGAGTGAGGGCGTAGCAGGAGTAAGAGACAGCTACAAGTGTTTTCAGAGGCTTGCCTCCTGGCTTTATCATATAAATCTATTAATCAAGATCCTGCAAGAGCTGCAGGTGTTCAATATGAATAGATAGTCCAAAAGTCAGTTAAGTATAGAAATTTAAAAATGTTAATAGTGAGGCTGGCCCTGTAGGCAAGTGGTTAAAGTTCCGTGCCCTGCTCTCTGCTTTGGTGGCCCGGGTTCACAGGTTCAGATCCTGGGTGCAGACCTACTCCACTCGTCAGCCATGCTGTGGAGACATCTCACATACAAAATGGAGGAAGATTGGCACAGATGTCAGTTCAGGGCTAATCTTCCTCAAAGAAAGAAAAGGGGAGAATTGAGAACAGATGTTTGCTCAGGGTGAATCTTCCTCACACACACAAAAATATTAATAGTAATGCCTACAGAAACTAGTCCTGCTAAAAATCATTAAGGTACTTCTCTGACTCAGTCAGGAGTTCTCAAATGTTCACTCAGTTTGTACTTGTGTGCACTGGGGAGATAGAAAGACAGTAAAGGAGGTGGTCATTGTAATTATAATAATAAATACCACACAGATGCTTCTAAAAGCGATGGAACTTCTTTCTTTAGGGTGTCCATTCCTTTGAAATAAAACTCCAAAAGAGACATAGACCCATTCTGAAATTTCTCATGAAAGCTTTAAATTCAAACTGACACTAAAAAGGAGTAGAAGTAAAAGAACCAATTCGGACTCATCCAGAGTTTTCCACCCCTTTTGCTACTTCTTTGTTATCTTTCTTGCTCTTCCTTCCTCCATTTCTTTTCTCTTTCATTATAAACATATATTTATTGAGTTTGTTATTTGAAATTTGGATATCTAGCAGAAATTTAGAGCTACAGCAGTGAGTAAACAAAGACCCTTTCATCCTGGAGCAGATATTCCAGTGGCAGAGACAGATATTAAACACACATAAACAAAACAGATACAAAATACTGTGTCAGATAGTGACAAGTCCTGTAATGAAAAGGAAAGCAGTGTCAAGGGACAGAGAGTGACAGGGCTGGCTTTATTTTAGGTCAGGTAGTGAGGGAAGGCCTTTTGGAGGAGGTGACTATTTAAATAGAGACCTGAGTGAAGGGAGGGAGCAATCCATGTCTGTCTGGGGTGCTCCAGGCAGAGGGAACGGCAGGTGCAAACGCTCTGAAACTGGAGCAAGCTTGGCATGTTTCACTGTGAGCTTAGGAAATGAGTCCCTAAATTGCTGCGGAAGGAGCTCAACTCTGAGCCATTTTTATGATTCATGCAAGGAAATCTACTTTATTGCTTTATAGTCACTGCTTTTTTTTACCCGAAATGATATTCCCCAGCTTTATGACACATCTTATTCACCAGACTGAACTCTGAATGACTTTTGACTATTAAAAAATAGCAGTCTATCTTCAAATGAAGAAGTTTTGCTGCAATTAATTTTTTTTATACCACACACATGCATTGAGTATCTGCTTTGTTCTAGGCCTTGAAAGCAAGTTGGGTGTATTTCTGCTCTCATGGAGGTTATATCTCGTGATGCATTTCAGTCTGTTTCACAAAAAGACGTTCAAAAAGAGTTTTGGTGAGTGATGGCATCACTGGAGTGAATCTATAGTAAGAGTGCTATTTAAAGTGAATAGTGAGTGTTTGAATGTAAAAGCTGTAGCAAATGTGTTAAAAATATGTTACATTAGCTTTAAATTTCATTTATCCATCTCTCTGTATACACATACATACTAGATATATATGTGTGTGTGTTTTATGTTCAGAAAAGAGTAATTGGGGGCTGGCCCTGTGGCATATTGGTTAAGTTTGGCGCACTTCACTTTGGTGGCCCCAGGTTCGCAGGTTTGGATCCCAGGCGCAGACCTACACCACTCTTCACCTATGCTGTGGCAGTGACCCACATATAAAGTGGAGGAAGATTGGCATGGATGTTAACTCAGGGCTAATCTTCCTTAACAAAAAAGTAAAAATAAATAAATAAAGAGGAATTGGAGTAAGTAAGTTTAGTGATACTAACCATTTCCATGTAGGCATTTGAGTCTGAAACTGAATTTTAAAGGAAGAATGAAAACCGACAGTTTGGTTGGAGGAATAGGAAAGTAAATTGGGGGGGCGTTCTTACTGTGACAGAAGTAGCAAATGAAAACTTGGCGATGAGTGGATCAGTTATGATTCAGCGCACCCACAAATGATTGTAGTAGGGGCTGCAAAAATGGTAGTGGCTTAAACATAATAGGAATTTCTTTCTCTCTTCTAAAAATAATCCAGAACTAGTATTCTAGGACTGATATGGCTCTTTATGTCATGGACCCAGGGCTCTTTCTGTTTTGTTACACCACCAAACTCAGCATGTAACTTCCACTTCATGATCCAAGATGGCTACTTGAGCTCCAGCCAACACATCTGCATTCTACCCAGTAGAAAGGAGGAGAGATTGAAAATAAGAATGCCCCTTCCTTTTAAGGGCACTTACTTAAGTTACTCATAACATTTTGGCTTACATATTATTGTTTAGCACTTAGTCACAGGGACACTTGTACCTGCAGGAGTGGCTGAGAAATGTAGTCTATTTACTGGGCAGCCATGTGCCCAGATTAAAGTTACAGAATCTAGTGTGAAGGAAGGAGAGAATAAATAGAGAAGGCAAGAAATAGTCTCTACCATAGTGGGAAAGAGTACAAACAGGAAATGAATTAATCATAGTAATACATGGTTGTCAGACTAAATGGAACAGAGACTATAAATTTAAATATGTAGAGGGGGCTGGCCCTGTGGCCGAGTGGTTAAGTTCGCCCGCTCCGCTGCAGGCGGCCCAGTGTTTCGTTAGTTCGAATCCTGGGCGCGGACATGGCACTGCTCATCAGACCACGCTGAGGCAGCGTCCCACATGCCACAACTAGAAGAACCCACAATGAAGAATACACAACTATGTACCAGAGGGCTTTGGGGAGAAAAAAAAAAAATCTTATAAATATGTAGAAAAATGTGGTTGAGAGTGCTCAGCGCAGTTCATAAAGGACATAATGAATAGTATTTGGAAATTTCAATTTGATACGACTAGCAACTAGGAACCATTGTGGGTCTTGGAGAACAGAAGGGATGTTTAGCTTAGTCACAGAACTTAGCTTTCTTATTACTGACAACAGCTGTTGGTGGAAGATAATTCTTAGTGCTTTGTGTAGAAATGAAGGAGATGCAAATTGGAGAGAAGCTTTGTAAGAGACAGTTGTTTCAATCCAGGCATCCAGGACCTGCTCTAAGGTTATTTCAATAAGGAAAAGGCAATGTTTAAAGATAGAATATAGAGAGGAGGTGGGCTAAGTAGATGATGTGTTGGAGAAGGAGAGAAATTGAAAATGACTCTAACATTTGAGTTAGAGAAAATGGAGGCAAGTGATGATATCATACAGGTAAATTTCCATCAGAAGGATTTAAAGATGTCTCTAAATTATTGAGTTATAATGAAATGTAAAATTGAATGCACTGCTTGAAATCTGATTCCCAGGCTTTAAGATCAGAGCTGAAACAGCTGTGCCTAGCTCTTTGTGGTAAATTTGCAAGGGAAAAGAGGTACTTTAGAAAAGTCTTGTGCACACATCAGTGCTTCTACTCCTTTTTTTCTATTTCTGGATGTTTTCCCCAAATTTTAATTCTGGTAGATATCCTGGGTAGTTTTTGTTTAGATGATTTTTATACTTGAAGGAAGAGATGAGCTGAAGGATAATTGCTCTTTGATGGCAAGACAGAAACTGTATAAAGCATAGTTATAACTCAGCTTCTCTTAGCTACAAGCATCAGAGTTAGGTCCTTTCTTTAGAGGTAATAATTATAAAAACTATCACCAGAGCCATTGCTTACAACCATGCTAGCAATGCATTACCTCTGTTGGTCATCCAGTCTTCTGTGAAGAGCTCTTTAGTAGTATTATTCTTTGCAATAGAACTTACCTGTATTAGAGAAGGATTAGTCTATGTTAAATGTAATAGCATTCTATATCATGGAAATATTTTCCTAAAAATTATGTATGATTCCTGTTGGACAAAAGTTATGCTTCAAAGAAGTTGTCGGCCCCATGGCTGAGTGGTTAAGTTCGTGCGCTCTGTTGCTGCGGCCCAGGGTTTCACTGGTTCGGATCCTGGGTGCGGACATGGCACCACTCATCAGGCCACACTGAGGCGGAGTCCCACATGCCACAACTAGAAGGACCTGCAACTAGAATGTACAACTATGTACTGGGGGGATTTGGGGAGAAAAAAGAAGAAAGAAAGAAAAAATTTAACTTAGTGAACTAGAAGATATGTCTAAAGTGAATGGAAAATATGAAAGCAATATTAAGACAGAGAATACATCTAGAGAGCAATTACGAGTTACCATGCCAATAAACTGTCCTCGTCAACTGCAGTGGAGGACAGATAACAGTGATACGATATTTTCAAAGTGCTGAGAAAATGATAGCCTATAATTGTATACCCAGCGAAACTGTTATCCAAGGATGAGGGTGAAATGGTCATTTACAGATAAATATGAAAACTGAGAGTTTACCGCCGTTAGGTCTACATTAAAGATTATGCTTCAAAAAGAAGGAAAATTATTCCAGAAGAATGGTTGAAGATGTGAGAGAAAGTAATTAACAAATAGTAAACGTGTATATAAAATAAACACTTTCTGTGTGAAATAGTAGCATCTAACTCTTGAGTTTAAAAAAAAGACAACGAAAATAGTGGGTAGCTGTGGTATATAAGTTGGGAGTTGATCTACAGAGTTATAGTGTTCTAAAGTCCTTGTGTTTTTTCAGAGAAGAGTAAGGATATTATTTGACCCTGAACTTTTTAGGTTAGATGTGCATGATAAACTTCCAAGGGCAAACACTAGAAGAAAAGTAGAGTGTATAAATTCCAAAGAAGTGAGAAAAAATGGAATGAAGAAAAAAATTAAAAATATTATAAAGGCCAAGAATCATAGGTAATGTGGGACAAATGGAAATAAAAAAATAAAATTGCAGGACTAAGTCCAAATATATTAATAATCACAGTAAATATCAATGAATTAAACTATTCTGTTAAAAAGCAGAGATTGCCAAGTTGGGGAAAAAAGAAATCCAGACATATGCTACAAGTATATGTTCCCATAAAGGTTGAAAGCAAATGGGTGGAAAAAGATAAAACAGGCATATAATATATAAAAAAAAGCTGATGTAGCTATATTAATATCAGACAGAGTAGAATTTAAAGCTAAGAGCATTATTAAGGACAATGATACAAGTTTAATTCCCCAGGAAGACTTAACATTTCTAAATGTTAATATACCCAGTAAAATAATCTCAAAGTATATAAAGCAAAAATTGGTAGAACTACAGAAAGAAATGGAAACACCTACCAATATAGTAGATGATTTCAAAACATCTCTCTCAATTATTCATAGGTCAAGTAAATAAAACATTTTTAAAAATATGGATTTTATAATTGATTATGTTATAAATAAAGGTTTAACATTTCAAAGAATCTGTAACACACAGACCACTTTTTCTTTTTTTTTTTTTTTAAAGATTTTATTTTTTCCTTTTTCTCCCCAAAGCCCCCTGGTACATAGTTGTGTATTCTTCGTTGTGGGTTCTTCTAGTTGTGGCATGTGGGACGCCGCCTCAGCGTGGTCTGATGAGCAGTGCTATGTCCGCGCCCAGGATTCGAACTAACGAAACACTGGGCCGCCTGCAGCGGAGCGGGCGAACTTAACCACTCGGCCACGGGGCCAGCCCCCACAGACCACTTTTTCTATCAAAAAATGCAGCTGTTTGAATTAAAAAATTGCCATACATTTGAATATGGAAGTATTCTCTTTTTTAAAATCTATTTTATTGAGGTCATTTTGGCTTTTAACATTGTGTAAGTTTCAGGTGTACGTTGTTATATTTCACTTTCTGTATAGATTGCATTGTGTTCATCACCAAAGCCTAGTTTTTATCCATCACTGTACACATTTGCCCCTTTACCCCTTTCACCCTCCCCCCACCCCTTTTTCCCCTGGTAACCACTAATCTATTCTCCTTATCTGTATGTTTGTTATCTTCCACATACCAGAGAGATCATATGGTATTTGTCTTTCTCTGTCTGACTTATTTTGCTTAGCAAGATACCTCAGAGTCCATCCATGTTGTTGAAAAGGGCACAGTTTTGTCTTTTTTATGGCTGAGTAGTATTCCATAATAAGTGTTATGTCTTCTTGGTGGAATGTCTCTTTTATCATTTGTAATGACCATCTTTCTCTCTTGTTGTCTTTTTTATCTTGAAGTCTGCTCTGTCTGATCTAAGTATGGGAACACCTGCTTTTTTTTGCTTGCCATTTGCCTGGAGTATCATCTTCCATCCCTTCATTCTGAGCCTATGTTTGTCTTTAGAGCTGAGATGTGTTTCCTGGAAGGAGCATATTGTTGGGTCTTGTTTTTTAATCCATCGAGCCACCCTGTGTCTTTTGATTGGTGAATTCAATCCATTTACATTTAGGGTGGTTATTGACAAATGAGGGCTTAATACTGGCATTTTATCTTTTGTTTTATGGTTGTTCTATATTTCCATTGTT